CGCTGTATCCAAATGAATTTTATATAATTTGTTTGAGACAGAGGAAGCTTTATTTGGTTTTATCCAATGACCACTGGGTTGTTACATTTTAGAATATATAAAGGAAGTGGAACAAATAATAGTGTCCTTGTCACCATGGGAACCGGCCTGTCACAAGCCCTTGGCTGTTGGATCCTCCTTCTTTTCAGCATTGGATCTCTCTCTGGTTCTCCCCTCACTGTTCACGGGTGGGCACAGTGTGGTGCTGGCATAGTTGCTGCCCTTAGCGGGGGCTCGGGGTGGATGTGATTGGAGACAGAGGCAAAAGGCAAGGGTTTGTTCACACTTTTCTTTTACACTTGCGATCGCTACGATTGGTTCACAGCGATCATGAGGCACAGATCCACTCTGACTGGCTCTGAGCATTTTTTTCTGCAACGCCGTTTATAAACGTTGCTCCAGAAATGTGTCACACTGAGAAATGATAAGTTTAATCCCGGTGTTTATTTCTTATATTCCTGTGTCAGGAGATGAAGGGACGGCACCATTGAAGCTCACGTGTACCGCGCCCATCGATGAGAATGAGAAGTATTGGCTTAATTGTGACTGGCTTCCCGGAGAAAAGGCTCCACCAGATACACAGTATTTCCTTTACTTCAGGTATTATGCCATCGAAATTCGTGAACCGAAGAGTGCTGCTCCTTGGAGAAATTTGCCATGAAAATGTTCCTTCCATTAAAGCCCGATTCCGGCCAAAAATGATTTTTTTGCCATAAAAGTGAGAAAGGGTTATAACTGGGGCAATTATTAGAAGTTATGGGGCCTTGTACAGGCTACCTGATAGGGAATCTTTGGTCCGTCTGCCACTCACCTCTGCGCTCAGGGCCGGATTTACTCTCTCTGCTGCCCCAAGGCCAGGTTCCTCTATGCGCCCCTCTACCCGCCAAACCCCTCCCCCCCCTCAATGGAGAATGGCAGACCTGCAGGCTGCATACAAGAGATCTCTGCCACATCGCCGAAATCACTTGTACAGAACATGTGGCGGCTTCCCCGCAGTACATTTAGCTCTGCTTGCCCAAAGCCCGGCTAAATATAGAAAACAACTACCCGCCCGGCGCCTGGAACTGCATGTCCCAGGCATCGGGAGATAGGAATTCCACACCCCCTGCTGCCCCTCTACTCCCTGCTGCCCCTCTACTCCCTGCTGCCCCAAGGCCGGGATCTTTGGTTGGCCTTGTGGGAAATCCTGCCCTGCCTGCGCTGCTCGTCCAGCGCTCACCTCTGCACCTCATGCTGACCACACCACCCGTCATCCACTGCTTTCTTCTTCACCTCTCTTGCTTAGCTCTGCACCCCTCTTGCCCGAATGAGAAAGAACCTCTCTTGCACTACCTAGCTCTGCACCCCACTGGCACCACCAAGTTTTGTACACCTCTTTCACCACCCAGCCCTGCACCCCTTTACACTGCCCAGCTCCCCGCCCACCTTGCACCTCTTATATCCGACCCTCTGCACACACCTTGCACTGCTCATATCTGCACCCCCCTTGCATTTTTCAACTTTGCACCCACCTTGTGCTCCACAGCTATGGACTTCTCACCTCAGCACACCTTCATGAATGGAATTGATTATATTGTAAAGCGCTGCGCAAATTGTTGGCGCTACATAAATCCTGTATAATAATAATTAGTAGAGGAGCGGAGCTACAACGCACAGCTTGCTATCTGGTGTCCATGCCGCTGCCTGGCTTATCTAACTGGAGCCAGGGCCAGCAGCAGCAGCAGAGATAACATAGATAGTATGATGGCGGGTGGTCTCAGCACCAGGCAAGGGATGCAGGTCACGTTTCCTGGGTGCCTAGTTCTAGCTATGTCATCACTGACATGCAGCCCCTGGCAGATCTGGGCCTGGTTTTGTTCCATTTCCCCAGCAGAGCTGGTTAGCTGTTTAGTCTATTACACTCTGTGCTATACATTACATTCTCCAGATTGCTGAAACCCATACATTGTGGAATGCATTACATTCCTCAAACTGCTGAAATCAGTACACTGTGCTGTACATTACATTCTTGAGGCAGCTGAACTCTTTTTATTTTATTTTTTAAATTAAGTTAGGACCCCGGGAATACTAGTTTATGACAGTGCCTCATACACATAATAAAGGGTTTGTGTTTTCCGCAGACATGCCGATGCGACTAAGAAATGCCTCAACTACGTGACTGAGCCGGGTGGGGGAAGACGAATAGGCTGCCGAACTCTGTTCAGTGACACTCTGATAGCAGACACCAAGTTCCTGATTCACATCAATGGGTCCAGCCACAGCCGACAGATCCGAACCATGGAATATGTGTTTAACTTACATGACGTAGGTGAGATGTGAAAGCAGCACAGTGACAGTATTCTAAATGAGGACTAATGAAAGATCCGTATAGAGGAATCAGGACCTCCTTCCCACTGCTGGAGATCCCTCTAGTGATATAGATCTATATAAAGGAATCAGGACCTCCTTCCTCCTGCTGGAGATCCCTCTAGTGATAATAAAGATCTATATAGAGGGATCAGGACCTCCTTCCCACTGCTGGAGATCCCTCTAGTGATATAAAGATCTATATAAAGGAATCAGGACCTCCTTCCTCCTGCTGGAGATCCCTCTAGTGGTAATAAAGATCTATATAGAGGAATCAGGACCTCCTTCCTCCTGCTGGGGATCCCTCTAGTGATAATAAAGATCTATATAGAAGGATCAGGACCTATATTTATTGAGTCAAGGATCTGGAACAAGAATGCAGCTTGGGAGCTCTGACCCTACTGGCAGCCCAGGTGATAGATCCAATATCTTCATGATCAGCTCCAGCATTTCTTTAACATAGAAGGTCCCTCGCACTACGAAAAATCTTTCTAAAAAGTTGACTTTATCACTCAGCGTGTTGATATAAAATGTATTTTTTGTGCATTAGAAGTGATTCCTCCCGTTCAGAATCTGGTTTTGAAGCAGAACAAATCGCTGAGCTGGACGAAGCCCATCAGGTCATTCCCCGATGATTGTTTCAACTACCAGATCAACATCTGGTCAGAGGACAAAAATGAAACGGTAAGATGCAGTCCGTACGAGGATGGAGCCAAGACTTACCGAGTATCCCCAATGATCTCTTAGGGACGGTCTGCGATGCCAGATACACTTCCACTAGAATCTGTCTTTCTTCCTTTCTGGGAGGCAGATCACAGTCAGCAAAGTCAAACAGTTCTGGAATGAAGATCTGAAGGAGGCGACCAACAAGCTTCACGTGCGGGTCAGGGCAGTGGGTAAGAGTCCTTGCTGGAAAATGGAGAAGCACAGCTCTTGGACGCAGGTTTTATATATAGGTAAGGGCTGCACTGTTGACTTTATATTTATTAGTTAGTAATTATTTCCTATGCTCATCAGCTCCATCTCGTGGTCATATTGAAGTATTACGCTACATACGTTTGACCTGAAGAGAAAATATATCTAAAAACCAGGGGCCTAACTAGAAATCACAGGGCTCCATAGCAAAATGTTGTATGGGGCCCCTGTGATTTCTAGTTATGCCACTTGCAGAGCCCACCTGATATACCAAACAGCCCACCTGAGAGTGACCCTGCAGAGCCCGCTATAGACTCTCTATGGTGGGCTCTGCAGGGTCTCAGGTGGGCTGCACACCTTTTAACTGTCAGTGCTGCCCGCCTCCGTGGTCGCCGGGCCCGCCTCCTTTTCCATCCCCGGCCCCGCCTCCTCTTCCATCGTCGGGCCCTGTCTACTCTTCTATTGATGGCCCCTGCCTCCTCTTACATCACTGGCCCCTCCTGCTTTAAGGTCGCCGGGCCGGGCCCCGCCTCCTCCTTCACTGCAAACGCCGGGTCCAGCCTCTTCTGCAGCAGCTGCTGGCTGTCACTGACACAGCTCAGCAGCGGCTGTGAAGAGGAACGCGTCGCTGCACACATCGCTGACAGGTTGTCAGTGATCAAACAGCGGAGTGTTCCTCTTCACAGCCGCCAGTGACAGCCAGCTCCCTGATATGCTATAGTGACACAGGCGGCCCGCACGGCACCAGAGGGATGCCCTGGCCGGGCCCCCCTGTGCCTGGGCCCCATAGCGGTCGCCTGGGTCGCTATGGCGATTGTTACGCCACTGCTAAGAACATTAATTTTTGCATCTATTCGCACAGAACAAACATTCAGAAAGCTTCCTAAGGGCTCCATGAGTTGGTTATCAATGGATACCAAAGTTCTTTCTAGTGCAGTATAGAATGTTCACATTGATATACTAATTTTCCACAGAGGGCGCTGTTGTAATACTCTGTATGATGGGAAACTGTTTATCCCAGTGGGGGAACATTGTGTTTAGGGATGCACCGATACCGATACTAGTATCGGTGCCGAGTATTTGGGCGGGTACTAGTACTCGCCCAAATGCTCCCATGCCTAGCCCGAAACTTCCTGTATCAGCATGCCAGGCAGCTCGTCATTACACGCGGCCCGGCTTCCTGATTGGCCAGGAAGCTGGCTACATGCTCCCTGTCACTTGTGACAAGAGAGCATGGAGCCGGCTTCCCGGCCAAACAGGAAGCCGGGCATCGTGTAATGACTCAGTGCTTGGCTTCCTGATTGGCTGGGAAGCTGGCCAATCAGGAAGTCGGGTGCCGTGCGTGTAATGACGCTGCGCCGGCTTTCTGATTGGCCAGAAAGCCGGCTCCATGCTCTCTCATCACCTTATGATGAGAAGCATGGGGACGGCTTCCCTGCTAATCAGGAAGCCGGGGGGCGAGTCATTACACACCACCTGGCTTCCTTAATGGGACTTCCGGTATCAGTATTCGGGATCGTCGAGTACCAAACAAAAAATATCGGTACTCGATACCGAAATAGCGGTATCGGTGCATCTCTAATTGTGTCATACAAATATCGAAATAGAAAATGCCGTCCTGAGACGCTCTCTGCTTCTCTCTAGAGGGGAACAATAATGAAAAGCTGTGGCTCACATTGACCGCGTGTCTCTCTGTAGCGTGCCTGGCTATCTTTCTGCTCTGTGTTCGGTAAGTACTACTTACTTGGGTACCTGTCTCCAGGGCAGCCATCAGGGGGGTACGGCCGATACTCATGTAAGGGGCACTGCTGGCCGACGGTGCAGGGCGAAGGGGCAGCCGGGCCCCAGCAGCGCATGGCCCCAGCATTGCCGCTCCAGCGGCTTCGAGACAAGCTGGGGCCCCATCAGCGACGCTGCTCATCTGATGTCGTACTGGCCGGAAGTGAAGTCACGTCAGTGACGTGACGTCACTTCCGGTCAGTCTGGCGGCAGAGGAGGCCTGATGCGCAGGTAAGAGGAGCTGAGTGGGAGGGAGGGGGGATGACCAGCCCACCTGAGACCCCTTCAAAGCCCACCATAGACAGTCTCAGATGGGCTGTGCAGCAGCTATAGTGGGCTCTGCAGGGTCACTCTCAGATGGGTCCTGTGTCCAGCGCGTAACTAAGCCCTGCGTCCAGCATGTCACTACATGGTTGGGGTTCCGGCCTAAAGCCGTGTATGGGGGCCCAAAATTTCTGATGGCTGCCCTGCCTGTCTCATGTGGGCTGTGCAGGCAAGCCTGAGCAAAGTCACACATGCAACCTTCAGCCGATCAGATCAGGTGGTATTAATGATATTACTTAACGTCTTTCATTCATAAATACAATATATATATTTATTAACTTATGTCATTTGTTTTATTTATTTTTAGATTTTGGAGAAGTGTGTTTCCGCAGATCCCCAAACCGAAGGATGATTTAAAGGACGCATTTAAGTTCGCACAACATCAGGTATCTATCGCCCCAAGTTGTGATCAATCTGCCTTTCTCAAGAAGCACAATATGTTGGCATGGCAGTTTTGAGAATGTGTCTGTCAGGGTGGATGTCAGTCTGGAGGAGTGCGGGTTCTTAGGCAGGATGTAGATGTATTTACATGCAGACCATTCTAGGTAACACCCACGTGTGATGATGAGCCTCTGCGATTGAAAGAACTGCAATCCAATAAATGAAGATGGGTGGGAGGGCAGTAAGGTCAGGGTGGAGAGCAAAGGGATATAAAATGCTGGATGTCCTCCAGCCAGGAAATGAGGCTCTATCTGACTTCCTGCAGCTTCTAATGTACTTTTTGAGAAGCTCCCAGTGTGCAGTGATATCAGAGGAAGAGGAGAGGAGCCGGTACAACTGTGCAAGACTGAAGGGAAGGTCGGAGGTCAGATATAAGACTGAAGGGAAGGACGGAGGTCAGATATAAGACTGAAGGGAAGGATGGAGGTCAGATATAAGACTGAAGGTAAGGACAGAGGTCAGGTAGAAGAGTGAAAGGAAGGTCTGAGGTCAGATATAAGACTGAAGGGAAGGGCGGAGGTCAGATATAAGACTGAAGGGAAGGACGGAGGTCACATAGAAGACTGCAGGGAAGGATGGAGGTCACATAGAAGACTGCAGGGAAGGATGGAGGTCAGATATAAGACTGAAGGGAAGGACAAGGAGCCGGTACAACTGTGCAAGACTGAAGGGAAGGTCGGAGGTCAGATATAAGACTGAAGGGAAGGACGGAGGTCAGATATAAGACTGAAGGGAAGGATGGAGGTCAGATATAAGACTGAAGGTAAGGACAGAGGTCAGGTAGAAGAGTGAAAGGAAGGTCTGAGGTCAGATATAAGACTGAAGGGAAGGGCGGAGGTCAGATATAAGACTGAAGGGAAGGACGGAGGTCACATAGAAGACTGCAGGGAAGGATGGAGGTCACATAGAAGACTGCAGGGAAGGATGGAGGTCAGATATAAGACTGAAGGGAAGGACGGAGGTCAGATATAAGACTGAAGGGAAGGACGGAGGTCACATATAAAGCACCCATGGTCCTGAGCTTCTCATCTTCCTCCTAGGCTCTCATCCGCTGCAATTCCTGGGACACGGAGGAAGTCATCAGCAACATTGAGGTGGTGGGATGTCCGGACAAGCCTCCAGACTATGCTGAGGTCACAGAATAAGCTTCTGTTTCTTCCAATTTATGGGTCACCGTCAGGAATCCTTCCATTGAATGTCATGCAGCCAGAGATTTGGGTGTTCTCCAGCGGTGAAGGACATTTGTCTGCACACTTCATGTAAGGATAAGCCGGAGGATGGCGAGTGAGCTTTGGAATCAGGAACCTGGAGCTGCACCTCCTTCCTTCTGCCATGACGGTTTGATCCTTTGCCCACTCAGCTTGTCCTTCCCTATAGAGCCTCATTTTATACTCAGGGTGGACTGGAGGGAGTTGCCAGACAGAGAAGCGTGATTGGTCGCTCCAGAGAACACGTCTCCACTTCTCTAGAGTCCAGTGGCGGCGCGCTTTACACCGCGGCATCCCATGCTTTGCATTGCACTTGGTGATGTGAGGCTTGGATGCAGCTGCTCGGCCATGGAAACCCATTCCATGAAGCTCTCTACGCACTGTTGTTGTGCCAATCTGAAGGCCGCATGGAGTTTGGAGGTCTGTAGCTATTGACTCTGCAGACAGATGGCGACATCTGCGCACTGTGCGCTTCGGCATACATACATTGAACATGAAAAAGATCCGATGCTAGATCTGCTTTAAGCTGATAAAAAAAAACAAACCCAAAACTAAACAAAAAAAAACTGTAAAGCTCCAAATTAGTTGGGATACTCCTGATTTGCAAATAAATATTTTTAGATAAATCTGAATTGTGAATTGTAAAGCTTCTGCGGTAATTAAATCTTGTATAATAATAATAATAATAATAATAATAATAATAATACATCACACACAGTTGCATTGAACAGAATTGGAAAGAGTGACACCTGGTGGCAGCTGACGGAATGACATTTGCCATAGATTGCCTGTATAGCATGCAGCTCGGTTATCTTGCAGTACATCGATCAGTATCTATGAACAGTGACCTGTATCTACATCAGGAAGGCACACGTGTACTAAACATGATATTGAATATCAATAAACCAGCCACGGCTGTGTCACACGGATCCTTAGGAACAGAATTTTAATTAAACGCATGGCAGACAAGTTTCTGTACAGATAACCTTAAGAAAAAAGTTGCATACTGGATCATTTGTAAACAGAATCACAAAGAAGCAGATTTTTTTATTTTTTTTTGTGTCGAGAACATGAAATCTCCGGAGCTCGGGATCAGAGGTACAAAAATAAAGTGCCTTTTAATGAAATCATGAATCGGTATGTGCTTCTTCAGAGTGACCGCAGCCTTTCCCGCAGCGTTCTCGCTCTCTCTCTCCTCCATGGAGCCGACTGATTCACTGCTTAAAGGTGACCAAACAGGTATTGATTTGTGATCAATCAAGATACGAGCATACAAGTGATTCATCGTTAAATAAAGCTGAACTCCGGGATAACCTAATATTATCTAAATACCAGAGTCCTGTGTGTTCTTCCTGAATCTTGGTGATCTTTGTGTATGTATTCCAGATCTGTGCAGTAATCCAGTGTGAGACTTGGAGCTTCCTGTAATAAAGACAGCTCACTGCTGCTCTCTCTCCTTGTGCAGGGTGACCGATCTCGTCTCCGCCCCCTACTGTAATAAAGACCGCTCACTGCTGCTCTCTCTCCTTGTGCAGGGTGACCGGTCTTGTCTCTGCCCCCTCCTGTAATAAAGACCAGTCACTGCTGCTCTCCCTGCTTGTGTAGGATGACTGGTCTTGTCTCCGCCCCCCCCTGTAATAAAGACCAGTCACTGCTGCTCTCTCTGCTTGTGCAATGTGGCCGATCTTGTCTCCGCCCCCTCCTGTAATAAAGACCAGTCACTGCTGCTAATCTTTTTATTGAAAGATTCAAGCAACTTTTATACAAAGGTAACAAAACATAAACGTAGTGTAAACTGTACAAAAATACCTATAGTTTCCTGTAGTGGGTGTGGCCTGCTGGGCCACTCCCACAGCTCTGCTGTCTTCATGCCTATGCACAGCACAGCAATGATGTCACTGCTACCGTTACAAGCTAATATAAAACACACACAGTTCCATTGAACAGAATTGGAAAGAGTGCCACCTGCAGGCAGATGATGGAATGACATTTGTCATAGATTGCCTGTATACCATACAGCTTGGCTATCTCACAATATATAGATCTGGGTTTACAAAGGCATTTGGTGTAACTTCTTTAAATTAAAGTATTTGTGGCCGGAGTTCAGCTTTAAAATATTGAACGATGCAACACGTACAGCATGCACCGAAAATATACGATCTATCAGGAATGGTCATTTAATCGATATGCATCATGATTGGTTGTCTGACGCACACACGCAGGTATTAGTTTGATCAATCAGAAACATTCCCGCCATGACCTCCGTGTTGAATAAGTCAATGAATGGAGGGACTTTGATTGATGATTCTTATTGAATTCAATCATTTTGTCCGCACCGAATGATCACATTGATACGTGTGTGGCCACCTTTACCCCGCGCCGGTACAACGTCATATCACCCAATTTTACACATTCAGTATCCCCCTCTCTCCGTATCCCTATAGAGACTCCACAATCACAATTCGTATCCACATTACACATCCCCGGCATTTGTTTACATACAATACAATTCTTCCTGTGAGAATGACATTGAGATGCTGTTTATGGCTTCCATTCGCCTCAGAGTGCCAGACGCGCATGAGCAGAAATTTGAATTTCGGGTACTTTGTGTTCGAGTTTCTCCTAAGCCTGTTAAGTCAGAGCCAGAAAATAAAAAAAACAGCAGGTCCCAGGATGCACTGCAATGGTCTGTGCACTTCTCCTGCATGAGCTGTACTGCCTGATGCATATATAGGCACACACATGGGGTCTCCGGCATGGGACAGCTGGCAGCTGCTGCTCTTCTCCTGCAAGCAAAGTGGGTGAAAGTGCTAAAGCAAAACCCCAGCCGCACAGGTAAATGGTCAGCGGAAACCCATGTTTGTTAACTGTTTTAGCTGGGGAAATATTTGTAGTTTTGGGGGATTCGGACTCCACGCCTATGCTGGACAGCCTGAAGAGTGACACCGGTATTTCCTCTGACTCCTTTTCAGTTTCCTGTGTCTTCAAGTTGAGCTACAAATATGCAGAATCGTGCTGCCAAGGTCCCCTCTGTAGGCTGCTTATAGTAGAATCCCCCCAGTACCTGGAACATATCAGGCTGACCAGCAAAGTACAAGGCTAGAGAGTCTCACTGGCTATACATACAATATATATATATTATATTCCAGAATATATTACATTGCACTTGGGCTAAATGCAGCGAGTGCGGTGCAACAGGGCTATCCCTAATAGACCCAATATATAGCAAAAGAGTCCAATGGTTGCATCACTTCCAACGTAGAAAAAGAAACAAAATATACATCACAGAAGTGTTTTAAAATTGCCAACAATGGCCGCAACCATTGGACTCTGCTATATACAGTATATATACACTGAGTGGCTGGATTATTATATACACTGAGTGAGGGTCATAATAATCTGGCCACTCAGTGTATATATATCAATCAATCGCATAAGGTCTCCTTGTGTTATATTTAGTACAGTTTCGACAATCATCGTATCTTAAAACCAGATTCTTTTTTTTAGATTGGAGTTCTGCTTTATAGGAATTATAAAAACAATTTTGATGATCAGCCATTAAATTTTGTGATACAAACTGCAGTTGCAAAGCTGCCATAGATGACAGAGCCACTTTACTGCCAACATAGCAATGGGCATTTGGGACTCACATGGCTCTGGGGGTAAGCAAGAGGCATGTGAGTCCCAATCTCTTGAGCCAAACCACCCCTTGAGCCAAAGGGGTGGTTTGGCTCAAGGGCCACATATAGTACACCCTCCAGAATTTCCAGGCAGAGCCCCTAAAGTGGATCAAGATGGGGGCTATGAAGTCCTATCCATCCACTGTGATCTGAACACTGAGCCAGTCCAACTCAACTACAGCATAGAGTACATGGGAGTGACAGGTACACTTGGAGAGCAATCACTTCAACCCATCACTGTTTAACCCTTGGAATTTCTAGAAGAAATTAAAGGATGGAAATTTAACCCTTTGGTTGCAGGCAGAATATATAATGAAAAATGTTTCAGCAAAATGCATTGTAGTCAATGGGGGAGGTGAAATTCAGGTGGTTGGCTACAATGGGTTATAATGGGCTCCTGAGGGTGACGGAAGCTCCCTTCATATATCCTGACCCCTCCGAACCATCATTATTTTTCAGTTTTTTTACTTCACAGGAATTTAAAAGGACAGTGAAAGTAAAAGAAACAATGTGACAGAAAACAAATACAGAAAAAAATAAATATAAAGAACACGGGATTTGTTTAGAGATACTTTCACACAATCTTTCATCCAAGATTCACCCATTTTCCAGTTGGATTCAACTGAAAAAAAATGAGAATCCTGTGTGAATTTTGTGTGAGAAGAAAATTGCAGGTAGACCACTAAATAAACTAAAGTACCCTGAATACACCTCCCAAAAAAACCCTCCAGCGTCTAAATGTATTTTTTCAATCAAATTTCGCCCACACAACTCAATGAGCAAAACGGAAAGTTTTGCGCTCCAGCAACGTTTCGCCTGCGGCTGCAGCAGTATTTTGGCAGCAGAATCAATTTCACCAAATTCACTCTCCTTATCCCCCCGATGCAGAAACCTGACAGCTCAAATTTTCTCTAACATATTGTTAGAACTTGTAGCATTGTGGAACTGCACTTGTCAAGTGAAAAGACTGTAATTAGGAAAGAGATACAATGTAGTCTTTGTTGGATCTCTTATCACAGTCCACTGACTTGGCACGCTCAGTTCTACAAGGGTATGAGCTCTCAGCTCTGTTCCTTTACCGGATTCCCTGAACCTATGTGTAAGAGGCTTACCTGCAGATGGACTCCTGCTTTTAGCACGTGAACGCGTGCATACGGAAGCGTGCTCGTTAGCGTACAGGTGCAAGCTCATTAGCGTGCACACTATCCTATTTAAACAGACATGAAGC